ACCATTGGAAATACACAAGGCCAGGAATGCTAATATAAACATCTTCCAGGAAAGAGTATAACAGGAATTGATAAAATTGAGAAAAAGGAAAGCGAACAATAAGAGGAATAACATTACAACAGAGGAAGGTGTCATGACAAGGAGATAAAAAAAAATAGTAATGAAAAATGCTGACAATGGAGGGACAGTGGGGACCCTCAATGGTAAAGAACAAGAGGCTCTATGACAACGTAGAGACTCTGAGGTTTATAAGGTGTTAAAGGATCCCACTGTATTCTTCAAAAATATTTGGTTTGAACTCCTGAGAGAAGGTGCGTGCAAGGGAGTTCTAAGTAAAAAAAAAACGGTAGACTATCTTCTAGAGGAGGCACCCAATATTCCTGTTTTTTACCACCTACCCAAGATGCACAAGTCAGATGTTCCCTTGGAGGGACGCTCAATATTGGTTCTTTTAGATGTAAGGAATTTGCATTGGAGGAAGAACTTTGTGTGGGTCACCACAAATATAAAAGCATTATACTCCACAATACTACCACCTCAGGAAGTATAATGCCTATAAAGGGGAACTTCAGAAGTTTCTGTTAATAGTTTATAAAAACTCTTCTAATGCAAAATTTCAGTACAGTTAATTAAGTCTATTATCTCCAGAGAAGAGGTACCTCCATGGGCACCAAATTTCCTCCCTCCCTGGCAAACTTGTACATGGGATGGTGTGAGCAATTTTGGCTACTCTTGGACAGTAAGGCCTCATGGACACTGCTGCTCCTAAATGTGAGTTTAGGGACTTTTGGCACCAAAGTCCCTGAACTCAACTTAATAAAATCCTATATGTCCATGCACACCTAGTCATTTATCAGAGTTTAGCAGCAGCAGAGTTTAGAGGCAATTAAACAGTGTGATTCTTCTGCAAGGAACATTTTGGCCAAAAAATGCCAAATGGCAAAAATGTGTGTAAGTACCTAATCGCTAGTTGTGTTTTGGGTATTTATTCATTTCAATAACAAGTACTCTGGCCAATTAAATGAATAAACATCCAAGTGCTAATGGGTACTGTGTTTACACACATTTTTGCCGCATTGAGCATTTTTCTGCTGCCAGTAGATTTAACACCTATGGTAGTTCTAATGTACATGTAGCCTTATCCTTTTCTGAGCAACCTACATGGTATGGGAAGTACATGGATGGCCTGTTACTGGTATGGGAAGGTGGGGTCAACTTGCTGGAGTGTTATTCATCTATTTAAAAACAAAATAAACTTAGCTTGCAGTTATTTGAGATCTTGAGCGTAATTTTTTTTTTAGATATAACACTGATAGCTGACAAGGAAGATAATGTTACCACATATATTTTTTGTAAGTGATGTGCTGGAAATACAATGCTGATGAGCAATGATCACCCCTCGCATACCACTAAGGCCATCCCTCTGCTCTACTAATGAACTGTACTTTCTCAGATGATAGAAAAAAGATTACAGAATAAAGGACACCCTGGAGGACTAATAAACGGGACAAAGAAGGGAAGGAAAAAGATAGAAGTGTATTGCTTTAGGACACAATTAACAGAAAAAAACATAGGAATGAGAGTAAAATGAGTTTTTTCACCACTTATAGCTTGCAATTTAATTAAATAGTTAAAGTTATAAACAATAATCTACTTACCGTATATTGTGTGGAGGCAAAGGATTATGATGGATGTTACATAGAGGACGTTGGTTCTCAAGTTGATAAACACCAACTTTTGGGACTCTATTAGCTCCTAGTGATTTTAGCAGACGTACTGTAAGTAGTAACTGAATTTGATTAACAACAAAAATCTTGTATAAATGTGGTTTCACTACAAGTGAATACTGTAGGATATATTTAAAATAAATTAATGTGGTTCTAAAGGCTTAAGGTTTTTTACAACCTGTGCAGCATCCTCCCCAACCCCTCCTAACACTCACTTAAGCCCCCTCTCAATCCAGCGATGTGCATTGAAGTCTTGGCTATCCTAGGACTCCCTCTCCTCATTGGCTGAGATAGAAGCGGGAGCCATTGTCTCCCACTGCTGTCAATCACAGTGAGCCAATGAGGGGGGGGGGGCGAGCTGTGGCTACGTGTGTGAATGGATACATGAAGCAGCAGGTGTGTCAGGGCTCCGGGTATGACCAGAGGTGTGTGGACTGACACAGGGAAATGCAGGCTTCAGATATGGTATAAACAATATGATTAAGACTAACAATACAAAACGCAGTGCAAAACTAAACATAAACACAGTGCAAACAAACCAAACCAAACCACCTACAGATAACAATACATACAATGCAAGAGTCGTCAGGCAGGCCGGGTCAGTAGCAAACGGGCAAAACGGAGTACCAGGAACAGGCGGGAGAGTGGTCGGGGTCACAAGCTGGGTTCAGTAACTCACGGGCAGCGCGGTGCAGAGGGTCAGGCAGAGAATGGTCAGGGTCACAAGCCAGGGATCAAACAGGAGAAGTCAGCAGAGGTCAGGATCAGGCAGGGTCGGCAACAAGTCAGGCATAAACAGGAACACAGGATACAAGATACAGGGGCCCATGGAAAAAACACACACCAAGGCCCTGACTGAGTCTGGCCATTCCTTAAATACAACCCCTGCAATCAGCTTCAGGTGTTTGGCTGACTGCAGGGGTGAGTCTCTGATTGCTGAGAGCACCCGCTGGCCAGCCCTGGTACTGCAGCCCACAAGGCAGGTGAGTCCCACCATTATTGGCAAGTCCATTCCTGACAGTGTGCACTCATAGCAAGCTGCTTACTATGGGGGCACCCGACAGGAGGGAAGGGACAGGAGCGCCAGCGTGGGGCCCGAGAAGAGGAGGATCTGGGCTACTCTGTGCAAAATGATTGCACAAAGCAGGTAACTATAGACATGTTCGTTATTAAAAAAAAAGTAAGCCTTTAGAATCACTTTAAATCAATGGTAATAAGGGAGATATTTCCTATACGAAAATGTGGAAACTGTATCACTGATGACAAGGTATGTCATAACACATAAGGCTGTCATATACAGTATGTAGGCTGTACAATCTGACCTCGTTCATATCAGAATAGGGAAGTGTCGCAAGACACTTTATGGAAGTAACATACAGTAAGTGTATTTGTCCTGCTTTAGTTTCCATGGAATAGAAAAAGTCATATGAGGCAGCACATTGGAGGCTTCTGGAACAAGAAATATATTGAATTTAAAAACTCTGTCACACAGCCCCAAATAGTTTAAATCAATGATGGAATCTTACTCTATATCTGAAAAATAATATAGATTGGTTAATATAGTGATAGTTATATGTAATTAACTATTTAATTAACTACTGAGAATTCCATCTTTCATCATGTTTAGGGTCCATTCACACCTGAAATGCTGGTGTATGTTCATTAACTCAGGCCAGTGCATATACAGTTGTGTTCAAAATAATAGCAGTGTGTTGAAAAAAGTGAATAAAGCTCAAAATCCTTCTAATAGCTTTTATTTCCATACACACAAATGCATTGGGAACACTACACATTCTATTCCAAATCAAAACATGAAGAAAAATATATCAAATTTGTGTTGTTCCTCTAAAAAAAATTGAAGAAGAAAAGTGAATATTAGACTGTTAAAAAAATAGCAGTGTTTGTATTCTTCTTTACAAACTCAAACATTCACTATATAAACTGAAAAAATGTTTGAAGATTTTGCTTTTCTTTGAATCGCTTAACTAATATTTTGTTGTATAAGCACTGTTTCTGAGAACTGCTGTACATCTGTGTTGCATGGAGTCAACCAACTTCTGGCACCTGTGAACAGGTATTCCAGCCCAGGATGATTGGAATACATTCCACAGTTCTTCTCTATTTCTTGGTTTTGCCTCAGAAACTGCATTTTTGATGTCACCCCACAAGTTTTCTATTGGATTAAGATCCGGGGATTGGGCTGGCCACTCCATAACGTCAATCTTGTTGGTCTGGAACCAAGATGTTGCACGCTTACTGGTGTGTTTGGGGTCGTTGTCTTGTTGGAACACCCATTTCAAGGGCATTTTCTCTTCAGCATAAGGCAGCATGACCTCTTCAAGTATTCTGATGTATTCAAACTATGATCCCTGTTATGCGATAAATAGGCCCAACACCGTAGTATGAGAAACATCCCCATATCACGATGCTTGCGCAACCATGCTTCACTGTCTTCACAGTGTACTGTGGCTTGAATTCAGTGTTTGGGGGTCGTCTGACAAACTGTCTCTGGCCACTAGACCCAAAAAGAACAATCTTACTTTCATCAGTCCACAAAATGTTGCGCCATTTCTCTTTAGGCCAGTCAATGTGCAAATTGTAACCTCTTCAGCACGTCTTTTTTTCAACAGTGGGACTTTGCGGGGGCTTCTTGCAGATAGCTTGGCTTCACATAGGCGTCTTCTAATTGTAACAGTCCTCACAGGGAACTTTAGACCTTCTTTGATCTTCCTGGAGCTGATTGTTGGCTGAGTCCTTGCCATTTTGGCTATTCTTCTATTCATTCGAATGGTAGTTTTTCGCTTTCTTCCACGTCTTTCAGGGTTTGGTTGCCATTTTAAAGCATTTGCGATCATTTTAGCTGAGCAGCCTATCATTTTCTGCACTTCTTTATATGTTTTCCCCTCTCCAATCAACTTTTTAATCAAGGTACGCTGTTCTTTTGAACAATGTCTGGAACGACCCATTTTCCTCAGAATTTCAGAGAGAAATGCACTGTAACCAGCATGTACAACATTTGCTGCCTTCCTTCCTTAACCACCTTCCGCCCGCCATATAGTACAATGACGGGCGCAAGGTGGTTCTCTCGTTCTGGGAGGACGTCATATGACATTCTTCCATTCTCACTGCGCATGTCGGCTTGGTCATGTGATCAGCTGTGTCCAATCACAGCTGATCACATGTAAACACGGAAATGCCGGTTATTGGCATTTCTCCCCTCTCGAGCTGTCACGCTGACAGCTCGAGAGGAGAGGAGAGCCGGTAATTGGCTTTCCGCAGAGGGGACATGTACACTGACCATCAGGGCACTGATGGTCAGTGTGCCCTGATGATCAGTGTGGCCCCAGAAGTGCCACCTGTCAGTGTCCATCAGTGCCACGTGCAAGTGCCCATCAGTGCCACATCAATGCCACATATCAGTGCATACCAGTGCACATCAATTCCACCTATCAGTGCCCATCTGAGCTGCCTTTCAATGTCACCCATCAGTGCCAGTCAGTGCCACCATCAGTACCAGTCAGTGTCGCCTATCAGTGCGTATCAGTGCCAGTCAGTGCCGCCTAACAGTGCCAGTCAGTGTCGCCTAACAGTGCCAGTCAGTGTCGCCTAACAGTGCCAGTCAGTGTCGCCTAACAGTGCCAGTCAGTGTCGCCTAACAGTGTCGCCTAACAGTGCCACCTATCAGTGCCACCTATCAGTGTCATATATCAGTGTCATATATCAGTGCTGCCTTTCAGTGCCCATCAGTGATGCCTGTCAATGCCCACCAGTGCAACCTACCAGTGCCTCCTCATCAGTGCCCATCAGTGCCACCTATCAGTGTCCATCAGTGCCCATCACTGCAGCCTCATTAGCGCACATCAGTGAAGGAGAAAAATCACTTATTTACAAAATTGTATAACAAAAACGAAGTTAAAACTTTTTTTTCAAAATTTTCTGTGGTTTTTTGTTTGTTTAAGAAAAAATAAAAATCCCAGAGGTGATTAAATACCACCATAAGAAAGCTCTGTCACAAAAAAATGATAAAAATGTCATATGGGTACAGTGTTGCATGACCGCACAATTATCATTCAAAGTGTGACAGCGCTGAAAGCTGGAAATTGGCCTTGGAAAGAAGGGGGTATAAGTGCCCTGTAGGCTAGTGGTTAAATAAGGGCAATAATTGCCAGCTGTTTTTCAAAGAATGAATGACCTCACTAATAGAACTCCACACTGCTATTATTTTGAACATGCCCCTTTCAATTAGTGATTCAATTACACAGAATCAGCAGCATGCATGTCATGACTGTTGGGTCTGTTGGATTTCTATTACTCTACTACACCTGCTAGTAAATTATTTGTCATGTAGAAATATCATTTCTACCAAAAACAGTGATTGATCAGGTTAGTGATGTCTGACTGCTATTATTTTGAACACAACTGTACATTTAAGCAGTGTATTTCAATAGAAGCAGTCCACACCAGTGTGTTGTGTTGGTGTGCTTTGCTCTGCGCTGCAAAAAAAAAAAAAAAAGTGGAAAGGGCCCTACTTTTTTTTTCAATGTGATGCAAAGTATGTAAATGCAAGTAAGAGCACAACATCACAAATAAATGCATGAAAACAGTTCATTAAAGATTCTTTTACAAAAAAAAATTTAAAGCCCAACCCTGGGCAAATAAAAAATTATCCTTTGCAGTGTGTTGTGACTGCACTGTAAGGGTTAATTGCTCATTTATGTCTAGGCAAATTATAAAAGGAGATATACTTAAACAGTTTCTGTACCCTGCGTTTTAGTGGTCTAGAGTCCTGATGTCATGAAGACCAGGGCAAGGTCCGTAGGGACAGTTCAACACTACAGAGTGGGGGAGTGCCATCTGCCTGGGAAGTGGAGGATCAGGTAAGTAAAACAGTTTCTCCGCCCCCGTAGACAAAATGAGCTATTAACCCTTGCAAATTAGCCACAACCCCACTGTAAGGGATTATTTTTTTTTTTGCCTGGAGTTGGGCTTTAAAGTGTATTGCACCAATCGTACACCATCTTCTTGATGCTGCCATGTTGTACATTTCCTTGAGGCGGAAGGACCCGCAACCCACTCTATTCTCAGTAGAGTAGAAGAATGAAACATGATGGAAGACCTAGTACTTTCAGCTAAAAATAAACATGGTATCTACTCTAAAACACAAATCTACTGGAACATGTTTATATTTCAGATGAGGATATGGCACTTCTTAAACCCCATTCACAGTGCACTCTCCTACTGCACCCCCTACTTCCAGCTAATTCCCCCCCCCCCACCTTTTTCACTTTGTTTTCCCTCTCTATCAGTTTCTCCTCGCTCACCTCTTCACTTCTATTGCACCCAAAATAAAAAGTAAACTTCATATCCTACGCATTTGCATTTCCCACGCAGTTGAGCGATAGGCAGGGAAGCTATCCCTTTTTATAGATAGATATATATATATATAGAGATGTAGATATACAGTACCTTTTCCTGTTTTATGTACAGACTCTTATACAGAATATGTATTACACCTGCAGGAGTTACCTAGTTTTTAAAAGTTGTTATTATGTTAGATATTTTCTAGGTTATTTATTATTAGTATAGCACTACCCCCATAGGAGTCACTGAGTTATTTTCGGGCTCCCTGTCGTTCTGGACCCCTTTCTGAAAGCTCAATCCCTGCTGACACCACAATATGCTTTTGACCAGAGTAAATTACCACCAGAAAGTAGACTCACACACAGATTAGAAAAAACTGATATGAGGTTTATTTTAAACTTCAATATAAGCCTGCTTAAACAGCACAAAGTAATATTGGTATTTGTAAAGGCAATTGTCACTCTTATCAACTCTAAGCAATAAACCACATATACAGCAGAATCTCAATCAATATTAGCAGGCTTGCTTTTCAGAAGTTAACCCAATACCTCCAACCTGAGGCGTTTTTTTAGTCCCCAGTGAGCAAGGAGAACTATCAATGGTTGAACTAGCTCACTTTGGGCCCTCAGAATCTGATGGCAAGGTTTAAATCTGAAATAGGAAAGAGATCTTTACCTAGAGTAGTCAATGTCCTTTTAAGTGCAGTGAGGAGTCTTCTGCATGCTCATTGGGGCCCAGTTGGTGCACAAGTAGGAAGACATGTTGGTGACAGTTCCTCTAAGGATTAATACAAGGAAAGGAAGAAGGAAGGACAAGTACTTTTCTTTAAAGTGGCACTTGAATTGGGTGGTGCCCCTTTAATGCATTGAGCAAATGGCAGATTTTAGGCAAGTAACCTGTCAAAAGCTGGCAGAAGTGCTTGTTGGCAAAGGGCACAGCTGCGAGGACTAATGCCAATGGTAGAAGAGGTTTCTTTAAGAGGGTAGGATGATGATTAAGGGAACATTGATATGGTCTGGCCTGCAGAAGGCATGCACTGCAGTAAGCTTTGACAATTGGACTGTGCTGCAATTGTGTTCAACAGTAGTGGCTGAGGGAACTAGGCCAAAACACATGTTAACTATGGGTTATTTGTCCGCAACTGACTCTCTTGCTGAACACGGTGGCAAGGCTAGCAGTCATTAGGGTTGCCACCTCATCCCTTTAAACCTGAACACATATTAATGACACAGGTTGTGGCTGATTAAGGTGGTAATTATATGCACTTAGTGCCTTATCTGCATTAAATTAGACTCAGAACCTGTGTCATTAATATGTGTTTAGGTTCAAAGGGATGAGGTGGCAACCCTAGCGGTCACCGACTCTTCCTTGCCTTTCTGCTCTCTAGCTCTGCAGCCTGGTCCGGTTCCAATCTTTTCCTCCAAATTTTCACCCGTAGCCAAGCAATAAGTAATTCCTATAGCCAGGTGCACACAAATTCCACTTGTTACTCCAATGATCAGTCTAGAAGTTGTAGTTTTTTTGTTGTAGAACTGGGATAGAGAAGGGATATAGTGGGATACTCCAAATTGAACTATTCACAATTGAGGACAGCTTTCTCTAAGTGGATTTTCTTAGTAAAACAGTGCAGTAGACTGTACAAAGAATGGAGCAAAGTCCTTCTGTAGAAATGTAGACGCTAAAAGGATAGTTGCTGTGCAGGTCTACACCCAGCAGCTGACTATGTAGCTCCAGAGAGATTAAACAGCACAATTCCCAGGATCCCTTTTGAATGGTCTGTAATATTTCTTTATTATAGGTATTTATACAGTGCTGTCAATTTACGCAGCGCTTTACATATATATTGCACATTCACATCAGTCCCTAAACCTCAAGGGGCGTACAATCTAAGGTCCCTAATTCACATTCATATACAAGGGCCAATTTAGACAGGGTCCAATTAACATACCAGCATGTCTTTGGAGTGTGGGAGAAAACCAGAGTACCCATAGAAAACCCACGCAGGCACAGGGAGAACATGCAAATTCCAGGCAGGTGGTGCTGTGGTTGTCTGTACTCACAAGCCCTTTGCTATAGCTCACCTTCCTCTGTGATACCAGGAAGGATCTGTAGACATCCCCTTCTGTCAGCTCTCAGAAGCACCCTGGGTTTCAGCATTCTGGCCGTTGCCTACCCTAGGCCTCCTGGCTGCATGTGCCAGGGGAGGCAGCCGCCTGAACCCTGGCTGGAATTTCCTTCTCAGGAGAAGAGAAAAAAAGAGAACAGATCCCATGTGCTCACTGAATATAAATAACAGCACCCAGCATGCCTAGGGGCACCACTCCCTGTGATTGGCTAAAGCTGCAGCCATATTCATACTGCTCATCTGCATAGCTCCACACTGTCATTCCAAAACCTTCTTTGGTTACCTGAATACAGATGAACCTTCACCTAGATGAAGCAGCACTGCGAGTCACTCACATGAACTAGCTAACAATTGGAGCTCTCTGTTCAGCAGAGAAAGAGCAACTAAATTTGCCTAACAATATCTTGTTAAGCAGAAGACCATATTATGCTATACTCAACTATCCACATCCCGGCACCTATCTAGGAGGGTGCTACATATGCTCTATACTATCCACATCCCAGCACCGATCTAGGAGGGTGCTACATATGCTCTATACTATCCACATCCCGGCACCTATCTAGGAGGGTGCTACATATACTCTATACTATCCACCTCCCAGCACCGATCTAGGAAGCTACATATACTGTATACTATCCACATCCCAGCACTATCTAGGAGGGTGCTACTATGCTCTATACTATCCACATCCCAGCACCGATCTAGGAGGGTGCTACATATACTCTATACTATCCACATCCCAGCACCTATCTAGGAAGGTGCTACATATACTGTATACTATCCACATCCCAGCACCTATCTAGGAGGGTGCTACATATACTGTTTACTAATTCTCAAAACTAATCCATAGACATCCTTTGCCTAATAGCTCTGTAATCTAATTTGCACTGTCATATGCACTGCTCTATGGACTCTACAAATCCCATAGTCCAGCTTGGGAGCAAACAAGAGAAGGTGACTATGTTCATACAGACAGTGCGACCATGGAGAACAAATGTAGCCACCCTTTAACAGGAAGTAAGATCACAGCATAAAAAAAAAAAAGAATTTAGACATGTGGAGGAGGTTGAGAGCAATTTACATACAAAAACAAAAAGAGGGCACACCACCCTAGTGCATTATCTTGCATATGGAAATAGGTGATTATACTCACAAACCAATAAAAAGGAGATGATCATCACAAATACCCAAATACAGAACT